AGAAATTCAAATTTTGGCGGGGGGGAGAACACCACAAGTATGGTACGAATGTTATGGTATGGTATGTATGTTACAACTATGTAACAATTCAGGAGAATTAGGAGGGAAGAAGGTGTAGATTTCGATAGCTGGGCAGGAAAGAGAGATGACCCAAGCTTTGTTCCCTTAGGGAAAGCACCGTCATTTATGGAATTAGTATTTCTTAAACTTCAGCAGCATAATCGGTATTTCATAACACAAAATAAAGTCCAATTTCTGCCCCACAGAGATGTGTGTATAGGTACACAAATTTTCTGTTTTGTTGGTTTATTTTATGTTTTTAATATAGCTTTGCACTCAATGGATATGCCAAGATAAAACTTTTACTGACTTCAAAGGATTAGGATCCTGTGCCTCCTCTCTAATCAACTACTGCACACTTGCACAGAATATTCTTTCTGGAATGTTTCCCAAAATTTTAACAGAAGGGTTGGAAGAAAGCAACTGAAACATTTTGGTAAAGTTCAGGAATGAAGTGTTAAAATTCATACCCTGCTTTTTCCTCTCTTGGGCACATAGGAAATGTACTTCATGGACCCAATTCTTTACTGTAATAGTCTGTTGTTATTTGAAAGGCAAATAATTAGTCTTTATTCCATATTAGTTGCTATGGTCGTTGTTTATTGCTGTTGATTTTACGTTTATTTCTAAACCTTGCTACAAAGTAATACTATTATTCCAGACAATAAATATTAACCTGAAAAAAAAATTTAGTTGTGTAGCAATTCTCATAAGCTGAAAAGGAAAGAAATGCCACCATTTCATTTGATAGTAAATTTGAGCTCTCCTCCAGGACTTTGAAGAATTTGACAATTTTACCCACTTTGACTTAGTCACAACAATGCCCAGTATAGCAACCTACAGACACGTGTTACAGAGCTGGTACTTCAGGCATCCTTCACATCAAATGCCCTGAAAAAGTCTCTTCATTCTTCACACAGAAACACAGAAGGCATTTAGCAGTCAATTTTTATCACTTACACATAGTGCAACATTGCCCAGGTTACAGACTGGAATAGGATCAGATATCAACACTACTGGCCAGTGCCACATCTAGTGCACATTAAAACTCAAGAGCCTCTCTTGGAAGTCTACTGGAAAACACATTTCTGATTTCCTGTCTAGGAGCATTACCAGTCCATGCAACCCAGCGCTGAGTACAAACCACGTACTGTATTTATGCTATGATCAGCTAACCAAAAGAGTAATGTTTTGCAATTTATTCTAATATAACTTTACAAGCATGCTCCAGTGACATTAACAAAAGAAACTACGCTATTTCACAAATTAAAGTCTCTAATGTTATTTTTTTTCCCCTCCACAAACTAAAAGTGTCCACACAGGACTACTTGGACTAAAAGGCTAATAAATACACTCACCTAAACACAGCTATTAAAGGTGCATATATTGAATCTCCATCATATACATACATATGGTCCCAGCTACATTCTGTGGCAAAGTGATTAAATCTTAATCTTAGTATTGCATTTGGGCTGAAAAACAAAGAACATTGATGGAAAACATTATGATCTCAATACTTCTGTAAATAAGATAAACTTACAACCAACTTACAACTTACAATCATGACAGTGTAACTCTATTAATTGAGAACTTACTAAACATTCCAAAGAGTTAAACAACAAAATTCAGGGCAAGCAAATATTTCACTTTATCTTAGAAAAATTTATAAATAACATCTTCAGTTCAAATCTAATGATCTCTAAACTTAATAAGAGACTTAAATTCACCAGGTTTTATCAGTACCCAGAACCACAAATTTGGAGCAATCAAAATATCACATTTTAATATTATAGCTTTATTTTACAATGACAGGATTATGAATTTTAAGAAGCTTCAAGACAAAATCACCTACACTTCCTCATTCCATTATTATACTAGTTATTGAAAATAAAAACCTGAAATCTTGCACTAATATTGCTTTCTTTTTTAAATTTGTGGGTTTGTTGGGTTTTTTTTCTTCTCCCCTCTCCCCATCTGACACCTGGAAGCCAAGATTTCACCATTTTTGGTAGAGATCCAGATGAGGACTTAAGATTTGTGAAAGGGGAATTTTCTCATATGACAAAATTAGCAGACGCCTAAATATATTCTATGCAACATACTGATGATTTTTTTTTTATTTAATTTTATTTCTTCCCCCCCCTCTTACTGACAGGCTTGAGTGCAATTTGTCAGTTTGGAAAACATATTCTTTTTTTTTTGTAAGCGATCATTTGGAGACAGCTCTTTGTTCATGTTTAAGAGAGTATTTTACACATATGCGACTTCGTTGTGTGTTGACATTTTGCACTATGTTACTGGGTTGCATTACTCTTCCATGTACTGTGCAGGATATCGTTTCCTCCAGCTACCCACTCTACCATCTCCTTCAAATAGGAGGATCAGCATGAAGAGCAACTTCAAAGCAGAGTCTGCATACAGTCCTGAGGCATGTTTCCACTTTAGCATAGTGCAGTGCATATATTCCTGAGCTAGCCAGGGTAAAAAGAGGAGTCTAGCTATGTCAGAAAGATAGTCAGCTATTCATTTAGTCACCCAGATATTGAAGATTCTACTTAAATGACTTTGCAAACTACCCATAACTTCATTGCTTTTGTTTCTAAAGTGCTACCTGCACATAAGCAGCCCAAAATTAGATCAGATAGATCATTTCTGAACTACAGCGACAGAGGTAACTGAGATTATGATAATATCGAAATACAGAGGGGGTAATTTTCTTCTAGAACATTAGTAGAACTCAGACACAGATAAATTCTTCCGTAAAATTCTGAGCCGTAGGCTGGGGGAAGAAGTCCCACGAAAATTTAACAAGTTTGTGTTTTTAACAGTTAGCCATACTAGTGCACATATCTTTTCTGTGGGTTTCTGTGCTGCATGAACCGAAAAATCAGCAACAGGCATGAGACATCTAAACTGTATAAACTGCGGGCACAAAATGGTTTTAAAATTGTGTACATGAGGAAAACCAGAATGCAAAAGAAAATACTTTATAGAAGCACTAACTTCTGAGCAACATGTAACTGAATAATTTTCATTAGACTGGAAGCATTCCGTGCTTGAAGCCATTCCTGGTTTATCAATGCAGAGTACAATAACGCGTTCAGTAACAGGATTCTGTAACAACATGCAAAGGTACTCAAACAGGCAACAAATTTATCATAGCGTTTTGAGAGCTTGCAGCACTGGACAAATTCCAGTATCAGCCTACCTTTTGCCAGGAATTTGAATGGGAATGGAATTTGCCCAATTCTGAGCAACCCTGAAAATCCTACTTCAACTTACAAAAAAAAAAAATCTTTATAATATTTAAACAAAAACAAACAAAAAAATCCCAAAACTGCTTATGTTATACAGAGATGCAGTCTCTACTTGAGGAGTTCTTTAGATCTCTAGAATACACAACACCAAACTGTCAGAAAATTTAAGCTATGAAAATAAATACTTACTATCCTTCAATTAACCATGTACATTTAGTTTTATATTTATAATTTATTGGTCCATCTGTTAAATATCCAGAAGGTTCTGTTAACCTGCAAGAGAAAAAACAGTGCTGTAATAAACCAGACACAACACAACAGAACACACACCATCAACACGCCACTAGATTCTTTCTGGATGGAAAGAAAATTGGGGGTGGGGTAAAGAGTTAAGTTTCTCTTCATATTTCTTGTCACACTGTTTTTGCTTGTAAAAACTAGAGTTCTTATTATTCTGTATTATTGATTTGCTTTCTTCCTCTAGGCAATCACAAGACTTGTCATTTTTCTAGTTCAGCAGCAAGCAAATACGACACATAGTTTAAATTATCCTTCGCTCAAAACGGATCCAAGTCAACATAAAAGAGTTCTTTCTTTAAGAGTATTTTGGTTTGCTTTGCTTGATTCCTTTGCCATTGCCCTACATGTTACTTTTGAAATCAGACCACAGCAGCAGTGGCAGAACTGTTGTAGACCAAGAGAAATTAAGGCATAAATTACAAATTTAAATAAGCATATCTGCCAGCCGATCCCTCTCTTATTCCTGGTCAGTGACATGAGAAAGCTGAGCAAGACGGACTGTGGACTACACAGAAACTAAACAAAACGCATACAAACAGCTACAAAAGGTCGGACCAAAATGCCAGTATAGCCCAGTACCCTGTCTCTGACAGTAGCTACAGCAGATACCCAGGAAAGTATTTAAATCCCTACAGACACTCCCCACAGCATTACACCACCTTCAACAACTCCCCCAGCTCAGGGACATTCTCAGCCAGAGGTTGTGCCTTTGTACTGGTTTCGGGTTAATGTTTCTCTGAGGAGTTTGCCCATGTAAACTTGCAGCATCCAGAATGTCCTGCAGGAATGGTTTCCACGCATCTATTAAGAGATCTCTCAACCGTTTTTGTCCTGAGCCTACCTCTTGGCAATTTCACCTGACGTCCTTCGGTCTGGTATTGGGTGACATGATGAACAACAGAACCCTGCGCACATGCTTTATCAGACTCAAAATTTAATGATCTGTGCTGTTTCCATCCCTTCTCTCCACTGTCCCTTTTCCAACCTAAGAAATCCTTGCTCATTTAGTTGTTTCTCATATAGAATAACCACATTTGATCAACCCCACTGCTAGTATTTAATACATCTTCTAGTCTCCTCCACCCTTCCTGAGAAGCAACACAGAGATCAGCATATTGTGTTCAAGACGCAAGTGACCCATAAATCTGTACAGTAGCACCATAACGATTTCCACTTCGTTCTCTATTCCCATCCTAACATTTTGTTTGCTCTTTCAACAACTGCTATGCTGACATTTTAAACACAACTAGCTGCTATAACTTTTTTGAGTGACAACAGATAGTTCAAGATTCATTACACATAGAAATTCATTTAATGTAGAAATAAACCCTTTTTTCCTCCATTCATGTACATTACTTCATATTAATCTATACAGAGTGATAAAATAGTAGATGAAATTCAATAATCTATTACCATAAAAGCTTTCAGAAGAGCTTAGCATCTTCAGCACACTGTAACTTCACTATTTACCTCATTTTCTATATCCTTTATGATGATATTCTATACTTCAGGCCTTAACACACATCTCTGGTGGCCTTACTCTACTGAGGAAACCGACCATTCTACTCTCTGAAACGTTACGATGATGATAACGAATATAAATACATACTTGGAATCACTCATTTCTTTCACTATAGTGTAGAAAGATAATGTTTAAGTACCACCGAATAAGAAAAAGGTAGCAGTTGGGGGTTTCTGTTTTGTTTCAGTTTTTTTAACAAATCAACAGACTAAGTCCAGAGGCAATGTCGAACAAGCTGACCAAGTCACAGCTAAATTTTCTCACTAGGAGTCTAGATGAACAGGAATTCGTGTCTGCTAGCGTATTATCTTTGAAGCTGTACACACCAACTTTAAAAATATTCACTACTTCATCTACTGCAAATTATTTACACTTGAACTCACATCAAACACTAATTGCATACTTATTAACAGAGGTCTGTAATTCCAGACATAAGACTATAAACATAGGGAATGGAAATAAAAAACAAGAGGGCAAGAAAGAAGAATTTGAGAGACAGTCCGTGGAAACTCTTAAAAGTTTTAAAACAAGTTCCTTCACCTGTTCTTTAAGAACTAGTGTCAGTTTGTCAGGCATACTGTAAGCCACTCTGTTCCAATCACTGGTGCTTTGGATGAAGATCTTTACCCGCACTGGGGTGATCTTATTGCAGCCTTCCAGTACTTAAAGGGGGCCTACAGGAAAGCTGAAGAGGGGCTTTTTACAAGGGGATGTAGTGATAAGACAAGGGGAAATGGCTTTAAATTGAAAGAGGGCAGATTTAGCTAAGATATAAGGAAGAAATTCTTCACTGTGAGGGTGGTGAGGCACTGGGACAGGTTGCCCACAGAAGTTGTGGATGCCCCATCCCTGGAAGTGTTCAAGGCCAGGTTGGATGAGGCTTTGAGCAACCTGGTGTAGTGGAGGGTGTCCCTGCCCATGGCAGGGGGTTTGGAACTAGATGATCTTTGAGGTCCCTTCCAACTCTAACCATTCTATGATTCTATGACTTTCCTTTTGATGAAATGGGACAAAGCTTTCTGATACGGGGAACTGTCCAAACAACTGTACTTCAAAATATTTTCAAGGCATAAAAGCAGTATCAATAACGTGTTTTATATTTCTGAATAAAAAGAAGAAAAGCAGAAGAACAGCTGAGAACATGAGTAACAGACTGAGAGGAAAAATAAAAACAACCAACCACTATATACTTCAGTCAGCTGACAGCTAAAAGAAAATTTCCCCAATAAAACCCAATACATTGAGCTGGTCTAAATGCTGTAGTACACCACTGCCCAAAAGCGATTGCTCCTGGTAACTGCTACACAAATGCTGGTGTAGCTCATAAGCAAAGCAACAAATGATGAGAGGCACAGCTGGTAACTCCTGCTCCTCCCTTGCTGCACACTGGAGAAGCCACAGCAATGGCCACAGGGAAAGGCTAACCATGTTCCTGCCAGGTGCTCTCGTGTCAATCAGTGCCTGCCCACCGAAAACTTTTGCTTGAAGAAAGCAAAAAGACACACGCAGTTTAAGTTTACAATATTGCTTTCTGTTACGAAATATCAACTTTACCTGAAGGTATACTTTCATGTTCATATTCAAGAGAAATAGGTTTTTCAGGGTTATTTCTGGCTTCTTTACATATTAATTACACTGTTTGGACAATGCTGAACATAATATCAACTTATAATTTAGTGGTCTAAGTTGCACATCAATGATTTTGAAATCAAGCTAATATTGATGCTTGGCACCTAGCAGAACCTTAGTAAAGCTGACTACAGGAGCAGAACCCATGTTTGAGCACGTGCTAGATCAAAGGCATTAATTTTGTTGCGAAAAAAAGGCAGTGATGCATAAAATTCCAATCAAAATCATTTTAGTGCTGTCATATGGTTTATATACAGATGTAAAGTCTGCTATATGAAGTCACAGAACACTTATTTTGCTGCAAGAAGTGTGAAATATTGTAAGTATTCATTTGCAGTCATGACCATTGCTGCCTTAGTAGCTGTATAATGCAATGGAGGTGACTTATAAGAGTTGTTTTTATTAGATCAGCCCTTTGGCACTAGTAAAGCGCAAACAATTTCCCTTTTCACCTAGGTTGATAATTTTTTGATAAATAGTCTCTTTTGGAAGAGTAGATAGCCTTTGAAGCAGCTACTGCACTTCACTGAAAAAAAAGTGAAGAATAAATAAGAGCATGACACCGCTTTGTAATAATGGCTGTGGAAAATGGCAAGATAAAGGGGCTGTTCTATTTAAAATAAATACATAGCGAGACAGAGGGGATATTACTTTAAGTTTTTAAAGTCATACCAAGAACTTTCCTGTATTATTTTTCTTTCCAAACATTATCAAATCCCAAATTCCATAAATAACACAGAGATAAGCAGTACTACTTTCACATAACCTCTTACCATATTCTCTATCATATAATGCCTGGTATTCGTGGACATAGTTTTGCTCTGTGACTAACAGTGAGCCTGCAAATAATCAAAATCCAGGTGAGCCAACATGACTACACACTCT